CGGGAACCCTCCTTGCAGTGTCCTGAATGATCAATGGATGGATCCCAACACTGCATTTGCCATAGACCTCTGAACGGCTTCGACAAGCAGCTCCTAGATGTGACAGGCCAGACCCGTGGACATGGTGTATGCAGAACCCTGACTTATAAACACACACTTGCCCTGACTGACCACTGCCCAATCCCTGGATTGTACTCAGACTGATCCCTGAGCCTCACAAGCAGACAACTGACAGTGGTCAAGCCCCTGGACTGTGTGCCAATGAGTGATATCACCGGGCCACCCTGAGCAGCAGCGGTACCTACCCCCTTGACGGAACTGAGGACTGCCCAGACCAGTTTCTGACCAAGCCATTTGGTTGAATAAAGGTACAGTGTGTTTGCTGTGCCGGTAGCTGGCACCTACTTTAGGTGTTAGATTGACGTCTCATTACCCAATAATTCTTCTTAAAGGCAGCCTGTCTGTGTGTCTGTGCTAAAGTGCACACTAATATGACAGCACTGATAGCCTTTGGCACTGGCTCAAGCACCAATGTGCTCACATGCAGGCACAGCATGGCATGGCCTGACAATGCAAGAATGCATCTAGTATCTATGTAGGTGCTCAGTGAGCGAACACAAACAGAGCAAGCGAACAGCACTGAGCTGCAGCCTGGTCCAATCTGTGAGCTAGGAACTTGGCCTTGTGTGCAAAATATTCCTGTTGCAACCTTTCAATACAAATCACAGGAGCACCATGCATTATGAACCTGTGCTTCCTTAGCAACTTATTATTCTACCTAAGGTATGCCATGATGGGGATTTGTGGGGATTGCCAAATGCTGGATGCCAATATCAGTGGGTGAGGATGGCTGGTACCTGTGGAATGGGCTCACAGATGCAGTTTGGTTATACGTAACATAGTGCAAGCAGCAAGTTGAATCCATTCAAGGAGATGGCTCACAGTCACCACCTTAAACAAAATAAATTTGGAACTTGCTAGCAACACTCACACCCTGTGAATGAATGAGAAAAATATCCAAAACTCCATTATCTTCTCCCCAAGAGAGTACTGACTGATGAGGTGGATAGGAATCTACAATACAATAGGGCAGTAAGACTGAAACAAACCAGATTCACACATGATCAACTATAGCGTCTCAGCATGCCTCAATCTGATGCAATTTGTTTGTCAGTGCATCAGGTCCACAGCACATGCCATCTCCACAGCCCAACACTCAATTCTGGAACATCTGGATGATAAGGATACCTATGTCAGGCTTCTACTTATTAACTGCAGCTCTGCCTTCAACACGATCATCCCAACCAAACTCATCATATCATGCAATAACCTTCTTGTTATCTAAGAACAGTGCGTTGTCTGAATGATATGGGCTATGGTGATCAGTGTGAGGAAATCAGGTGACATGTGCAGCGAGGTCCATCTCGATTGTTGAGATCATCTCACTCCATCTTTTACACTTTACACAAGTGGTGTGGCAAAATTCTCATTAGACAACAGCGAGATACCAACTGACAGGGATTACTGCTTATTAAACTCCTTGTTAATGCCACAAATTGCCTCATTAATATTCAGCCTCCCATCTTACCCAACTAACCAAACAAGCTCAGGAAAA